GAGAGAGAGAGAGTATGGGGCCGGTGATTCAATTTGCGGAAGGGACGCGAAACCGCAGAGTCACGTACTCGGTATCGGATTAAGGTCCGACGTCGTTCGGCTACCGCGAGCACGAGTTCGCTCTCTCCCCTCCCCTACACATCTTCGAATTTAACCAAATCACGGAGAACGTCTCTATTCGTGGAGATATTGGAAGGCAGGGGGGAGGGGAGGGGTCGCACGATTGACCCTAAACGGGAAGCGGCCGGCCGCTCGGTCGGTCTTCGTTGCCAATAAAAACGGTGTCATCTGGGCCGCGAGACCGTTGGGACGAGACGCACGTGCCGGCCGCCGCGCACAGCCTGCGCGCACCCACCAGAATCCGGCCGAAAGTACCCGCCGATATTTATTAGCCTCGCGCCGTGACGCGTCTCTATCTTTCTCTCTTTCTCTCTCTCACTCTCTGCCTCTCTCGATATATCTTGATTTCACGACCCTTGGCACCCTATCGGGGGTATCGGGGGCACGAAAATCGGGGAAACTAATCGAAAACGAATCCGCGGCGAGCACCCTAATTCATTCCAAATTAACCTCGCATCTGTAACGCATCGTTTTGCTCGTTAACGCGATACCCATCGGATCGGAAAATCCGTTTCTCGTGGGAACGAGGCGAGGCGAGCAAGTAAGACGAGCCGTCGGGTCCGTCTGTCGCGATTCCTTCCCTGCCACACGGTTTTTTTCACGGTTCGAGCAGGAAACGCGCCAAACCGAGTTTCGGAATCGTGGAAAAAGGCGAAAAGGCGCATGGGCCACACGCGTTGCTCCCATTCAACAGCATGACCGATATACCTACCGCCATCGAAACACCAGCGAGGCAGACAGAGATCTTCGAAAAGAGATCGATCGGCTATCTCTCTCGCCGACAAAGCCCAAGATTTCCCGGCTAATTACTAGGAGGCTAATTGAATGCCGTTCCTCGCGCGCTCGGGCCTCGCCCCTTTCCATCTCCTGCTCGAGGAGAGGTGGAGAGTGAGAGAGAGAGAGAGAGAGAGAGAGTGAGAGAAGATCGGTTCTCTTCTTTCTTCGCATCTTCCGCTCTCATTCATATTCATGCGTCGGTAATAGTCTGCCGGTCGGGACAGCCGCTGGCGGACGCGTTATATCGCGCTTCTTCTTCTTTTCTTCGTCGTCTTCTTCTTCTTCTTCTTCTTCTTCTTCTTCTTCTTCTTCTTCTTTTCGTACGGGTTTTTCGCTCGGATATTTCGTGTATACGCGCGAAACGCGAAGCCTGCTGGCTTCGAATTTTCGTCGAAGGTTTGTTTGTTGTGTGGAAAAGGGGCGGGGAGGGGAGGGGAGGCGAAGGGGGTGGGGGACGACGACGCGTGTCACGTACAAACCCAGCTTTCGAGTCAAGGTTTTTCTCCATCATCGTGGAAAGACATTGTCGGACATTGTCGTCGTTGGTTAGGTAGGTAGGTAAGGTAGGTAAGGTAGGTAGGTAGGTAGGTAGGTAGGTAGGGAGGAGTGACGGCGTAACGCGGCGTGAAGTTATCCGTGAAAAGAGCATTTTCGAGATGTAAACTCTCGAATAGAGATCCTGGTCGCCGTGCGACAACAACGAGACGCGCCCCATGACAGGGTTGTCTCGGGGCCATTTACGTCGAGTTAACGGTTCGTTACTGAATAGAAAAAGAGTCTACGCTTTATCCCTACGGATGAAAAGACGCGTTTGGCCTCGGCCCCCGGTGAAATCGTCCAAACTACCCGCGGAGAAGATAGGTGTCTCCTCCCCCCTCGAAATTTAGGCATCGTCACGTTTTAGGCACCGTCCATCTCCCTCCGCCAAACTTTCAACTTCTCTTCTCTTCTCTTCTCTTCTCGATGAATCCGATCCAATCGATCCGATCCGATTCGAAGAGGAAGGAATCGAATTATCGAGGTTACCGATCGAGGGGTGGAGGAATCGAGTGGAGAGAAGGCTCAGAGGGGGGTCCATCCAGGGGTGCGTGTCGAATCGAGGGGTGGTTTTTGTCGCGTTGACCGCAGCCAAGAGTCGAAGACGTTTCGGGCACAGCGGGCCATCCGTCCCAAAGAAACGCAACGATCCGCCTTCTTTCCCAAATACTTGCTCGCTCGCTCGCTCGCTGGCTCGTTCGTTCGCCAAATTACATCGTTCTCGAATCTCGCCTCGATTAACCGGCACGCGACGGTTAGTGATCGCGAGATTCGAAATCGTGAACAAGATGGGTGAAAAAAGGAGAGGAGAGGGAGAGAGAGAGAGAGAGGAGATACGTCGTATCCGTGACCGAACGACGATACGGGTATGGATTAGGAGGTGAGAGCCGGGACTGTAAATAAATAAGGGACGAAGCGGATAAAAAGAAGAATTTATGGTGAAAATGTTGGTAGACATTCCCCGTAGGCTAGAGAGGTAAACCATCTCGTAGGCGAGGGTGGGCCATTGACGGTTTCGTTGAAAGTTTCTTCCATAAATCCAGCTCGTATTGTCCGACTTTCAAGA